ACAGTGGTGAGGGGTGCACCGGGTAGTTTTTCATGTTTCAAGTGTGGCCAACTGGGTCACAAGGCCTTTTCATGCCCACAGAAGAGATGAGGGCAGCATATGTTACCGCCACCACTACCTAATCGATCTCAGAGTCAGTCTCAGAGTCTTGCATATCTATTTTAGTAATTAAGTGGTGTTTACTGTTTTCACCATAGGGATCTTTCGACGAGGAACAATTTTTTTTTTATTGGGCTTTTATGTAAGAATTTGTTTTCCTTTTTCATTGGGCCTTTTGGATAAGAAGTGTTTTATTAAGTTTTTATTATTGGGGCTCATGAACAAGAAGAACTTTTACTTTGTGGCTTTAGAAGATTACCTTACTCACCTAAGGGATGTGCTGACACTAGAAGTTAACAAATGATCTAACCTCCAGGTCCCTTGAGAGACTCAAATTTGAGGTCTTGAATCTTATCTTTTAAGTTTTTACCACTCGGCTAATTCCTTAGAGTAACTGAAGGTAGACTTATGTGATGATAAACAAAATGTTGTGGTTTGCCCTGCTCATCACTCATGCCTGCTCTCGTGTTTCGATTTCTTGTGTTATGTTCATTTATGGCCCACAATCTAACTTGTTTATGTTTTCTTATGCCTTGAAAACAATGTAAGAAAGTCCCATGTCACATGCTTGTTTTCTTTGTGTTTTTCGTTCATTTCATACGCATCTCTACATCAGTTATAGAGTGCCTAATTTGTCATGAATTGCATTTGAAACTTAGGGATATAAGAGGCTAAGTGGAAAATAGTACAAGCTTGGATCATATAATCCCAAGGAGATGGATGGACACCAATATATATAGATATAGATATAGAGACAGACATATCAAAGCGGGTTGGGGAACAATTTTTTTTTTTTTTTTTTTTGTCGAAGAAATTTTATTAATGAAAAGAGAGTACAAGAGTATCAGCAGAAAACATTAATAAAATAAACAGCGATTGAGAGCATCCTCTTGGGTTTGGAACATATCTCAATTAGGTTGGCAAATAAACAGCGATTGAGAGCATCCTCTTGGGTTTGGAACATATCTCAATTAGGTTGGCACATGAAACAAGAGCCAGATAGAGGCAAAAATTACACTGAGAAATGAGATCTCTTTTTGGCTTTGATGCTACGAACTCATTCAATCTGGAATATAAAGTCATTGACTGCATACATTGGATACAAATGACAGGTTTAATTCAGCAGTATTTTGTTCTGAAGTTAGAGATTTTGTATTTGCCTTCCTAAGCAAAGAAAAAGGAAGAACCAAAGAATGAAATGTAGGATATTGATGAAGTTGAAATTGACAACATATTTATAAGTTTATAGTTTTATCCTCATAGTTTTGGGTGGAAAAAAATAGCTTTTTTGATCAGAATGTTATAATTGATAGGATTTTTGGGGGAGCTATAAGGTATATTCATTATGCAATAACACATTCCTTGGAGCAAAAAAAAATTTAAATTGAAAATAGAAAAACAATAAATACCTAGTAAGTTTTTTATTAAAAAAAATTATTGTTGTAGAAAATTTATACAAAACGATTTTGCAAAAATATGTGACACTGTTATTTTTGTAAATAAAAAATATCTTTTTGAGTATTTTATTTTATAATAAAAAATCTACACTAAACCATATCATTCTACACAAATTCTATATAAATTTTTTATTTATATAGTATCACTCTTCTAGAAAACTGTCATAAGTATTGTGTAAAAGCAGTGTCATTTAATGCTAAATGGCGGATGGAGGATGGCAGCCGGTGGTTCGAAGACATAGCGGAAGAGGAGACCGGAATAGCTGGACGACTGGGTCTATCCACTCTCTTTTCGTGGATAATCTACCCGAATCCATGCAAGCTAAAGGGCTGTACTCACTCTTCTCCAATTATGGGGTTGTGATTGATTCCTTTATTCCAAACAAGAGGAGGAAAATGATGAGATCCCGGTTTGGGTTTGTCAGATACAGGTGTCCTGTTGCAGCGGATATGGCTGTTCAGAAAGCCAATGGGCTCTGGTGTGATGATAAAGCTTTGAAGGTTAAAAAAGCAGATTATGGTAAGGAAGATGATATGAAACAGCAGGCTGGGCCATCAGTGCAGCCTAGAAAGTATGCGAGGGAACTGAACAGAATGCATGTGGGTCACCAAGGTATGAGATCGTTTGCGGAAGTGGTGAGTGGCAAGGCACCAGGTTATAACTCCTCCTGCATTATCAAAGCCTACGAGGAAGGTAATGGATGGCTATATGAGAGTGTCATAGCCAGGTTGAAACCAATCTATGCTGTGGAAGACTTCAAGGAAGAACTAGCAAGGAAAGATCTGAGGGAAGTTCAAGTGAGGGTAGGTGGTGGAAGAGATTTGGTCTTAACATTTCAATCTAAGGAAATTATGAAGGAAAAACTTCTGTCAATGAGGAGCTGGTTAGATGAATGGTGTGATTCAGTTCTTGAATGGGAACAGGGGATGTCAATTACCCAAGAGAGGAAGGTTTGGCTCAGTTGCTATGGAGTCCCACTAAATCTTTGGAGTTGTAACACATTCATTAACATTGGTAAGATGTGGGGTATGGTGACTACTCTGGATGAGGATACTCGTAATTTAAATCATTTCCAATGTGGAAAAGTGCAGATTGCGACAAACTTTATGGATCCTATTAATCAATTCCTCAGATTAGAATGCAAGGGAGTCCTTTACCCAGTTAGGGTGTGCGAGGAACAAATCATTATCATCCAAGATATGAAGATGCCCGGTTTCAGCCACTCATCTGAAGAACATCTCGGTGGAATCAGAAATAGTACTCTTGCAGCAGTGGGCAAACAGATTGTAGATAGAGGGAGCAAGCACATAGAAGGGGTTGATCATGTAACAGTGCAAGCGCACGATAGCAGCAACACCATGGTGGAAGATGACCAGCTTAGAGATACTTCGGAGGTGGCTGAATCAAATCCGCAGAAAGGCATGTCAGAAGAAATCGGCTACGTATGTCAGGAGAGTTCTGCAAGACTGCTGGCGAGTCCCAAGAGGAGAGCCGTTGATGATGGTGAAGATGGAATTCAAATTTCTAGATTGATTAAAACTCTATCTGGGCCTGATAACATGGACTGTGGGCTTAAGTTAATTGTGGATTTGAAATCGACCCATGAATGCTATGGATCGGATGAGGCTTCAGTCTTGGACCCCCAGGAGCTAATCACTACAGAAAAGGCTGTTGTGGGTGGTCCAGATGGGAGAGTGTCAAGCCTTTTTGAGGCCCATGACAAGGAGCCCAGCAGCAGTCTTTCAAGGCCTACACAAGGGAAGGAGAAGACAAGAAGTAGGAGAAAATCAAACCACACTTTTCTGGGGAAAAAGTCCTTCGACCTGTTAAGGAAGTATGGGAGCAAAGGGGCTTCAACCAGTAGAGCAATGCCCAGGGCTGCAGTATGGTGGGCAGCAGTGGCGGCAAGGTCCTCATCTGCATCAATAGAGGGTGGAACTGTTAAGGGGAGGTTCGCCCTCATCGAAGCTGAAGAAACTCTCAAGATGGGGAAAGCTCTTGGTGTGCAGTTCAATGGTAAGCGAGCTGCTGTGTTGGAGAAGATTGTGAACCTTGAATTGAAGGACAAGGAACAAATTTAAGGGGGGGTGAGAGGTGGGGTCTGATGGACACCAGCTGGGGGAATGTATTAGAGCTCTCATGGTTATTTATGAAGATTCTTTCATGGAATGCTAGAGGGTTGGGGAGGAAGGAGAAAAGAGGCAAAGTTAAGAAGCTCCTGAAGGAGAGGAATATAGATATTGTGTTGCTCCAAGAAACTAAAAAGGCTGAATTAACAGAGGATGAAGTTAGATCTGTGTGGGGCCGAGACAAAATGGAGTTTATGGTGGTGGATGCTGTAGGCTCGGCTGGGGGATTACTGTGCATATGGGACCCAGATGTCTTCCAACTAACAGAATGTTGTAGCAATAGAAGATTCATCTTATTATCAGGTACCATCTTTAACCAATTTAATTGTGCTATTTTAAATATTTATGCCCCTAATGATGTCGGATCAAGAGGGCATCTGTGGGACTGTCTATTGAAATTAAAGGAGGAATTCCCAAATCCTTGGTGCTTAGGAGGAGACTTCAATGAGATTAGGCAGATTGCGGATAGGAGAGGATGCTCTAGGAGAGATAGGGGCATGAAAGAATTTAACGAGTTCATTGATAAGTGTGAGGTCTCTGATTTACCACTACTTGGGAGGAGATTCACTTGGTGTAACTCATTTGGGGGGGAAAAATGGAGCAAAATTGATCGAATTTTTGTAGATCCTAGATGGCTTGAGATATTTAACCTGAAACTATGGGGTTTACCAAGACTGGTCTCTGATCACTGCCCTCTTCTTATGATGGAGGATGAGAGGGACTGGGGTCCAAAGCCCTTTAGGGTCCTGAACGCTTGGTTTTTGCATAAAAATTTTCGAAGCTTCTGGGAGTCAAAGTGGAAGGAGTCTAGGGTTGATGGTTGGGCTGGGTTTATTCTTATTCAGAAGTTGAAGATCTTGAAAAATGGCCTGAGAAGCTGGAATGTGGAGGTTTTTGGTAATATTGTAAACAAATTGAAGACTGTAGAGGGTGAACTTCACAAAATTGATCTACTGGCTGAGGCTAGAGACCTTGATGATGATGAAAAAGGCAGGAGACGTGAAATTAGAGCTGAAATGTGGAGTTTGAGCAGGATGGTGGAGTGGCTATGGCTGCAAAAGTCTAGGCTTAACTGGGCGATGAAAGGGGACAAGAATACAAGGTTCTTCCATGTGGTCACAAAGTGCAGAACAATAAGAAATGAATTACATTCCATTACAGAAGGGGACGTGGTGTATGAAGAGCCGAGCCAAGTGAAGAACAAGGTGATGGAATACTTTAAAAACCAGTATACGAAACTCTGGCCAGACAGACCTGAATTGGGGGGTCATTTCCCATCAGCAGATGGTAGTGTGAGGTTTGATCTACTAGAAACAGAGTTTTCAGAAGCAGAGATTAAACTAGTAGTGATGGAGTGTGATGGTAATATAGCACCCGGACCTGATGGCTTTAATATGTTGTGTTTTTAGAAGTTTTGGAAGGTCATGAAGGGTGAGGTTGTTACTTTTGTGAAAGAATTTCATAGGAATGGCAGATTGGTAAAAGGCATTAACAGTTCCTTTATAACCCTCATCCCCAAGCGGGACAATCCTTCGGGGCTTTCCGACTATAGGCCCATAAGTTTGGTGGGCTCACTCTTCAAAATCATAGCAAAACTTTTGGCAAAGAGACTAAAATATGTTATGCCACATATTATTAGTGAGCCTCAGTCTGCGTTTCTTAGTGGTAGAAATATTTTAGATGGTGTGTTGATTGCAAATGAGGTTGTTGAAGGCTGGAAGAAAGACAAGAGGAAGGGAGTCCTCATTAAGTTGGATTTTGAAAAGGCATATGATTCCGTTAGTTGGGGTTTTCTGTTCTCTATGCTATCTAAGTTCGGTTTTGGTGCTAAGTGGATCAACTGGATGAAGGAGTGTGTAACTACGGCAAGAGTTTCAGTGCTTGTTAATGGATCTCCCACTGAAGAGTTTAGCCCCCAAAGGGGCCTAAGACAAGGTGATCCGCTATCTCCCTTTCTGTTTAATCTGGTTGCAGAAGGCTTGCATCTTTTGTTGAGCAGAGCTTGTGGGTTAAACCTAATTAAAGGGGTGAAGGTAGGCCGTGAGGGAGTGTTGTTGACTCATTTACAGTTTGCAGATGATTCACTCTTGTTCTGTGAAGCAGAGGTGGAGGAGGTCAGGAAATTAAAGAGGGTGCTAAGATGTTTCGAAATCTTGTCAGCCTGAAAATAAAGTTTCACAAGAGCGTATATGCTAGGTGCATGCTTGCATTTTCATCCCTTGCATGTTTGCGTCATTCAGTGGCATTGCATCTAGGATTGCATGTTAGAATTGCATTCATGCATATCATGCATATTGCATTGTATTAGCTATTTAGGGTTGCCCTTAGGTGCTAATCCAAGAAAGAAGGCTACTTGGAAACCAGTTATGGACAAAGTCAAAAGCAAGCTGGCTGGATAGAAGAGGAAGATGTTGTCTTTTGCGGGGAGACTCATATTGATTAAATCAGTAACTTCAGCCTTGCCAGTATATTACTTATCTTTATTCAAGATGCCTGAAGGGGTTGCTTCAGAATTGGACAAGATTCAAGCTAAATTCTTATGGGGTGGTTCTGAACAGGGAAGGAAAATCCATATGATCAAATGGGAGGAGTTGTCTAAAAGAGTGGATCAAGGTGGTTTGGGTATTAGGCAGTTGAGGGTTGCCAATAACTGTCTTCTTATTAAATGGTGGTGGAGGTTTGGTAAGGAAAAGGATGCTTTATGGAAAAGAGTTATATGTAGCAAATACAAGTTGGAGGCGGGTGGTTGGCTTCCGTCTCTCACCCCATCCATGAGTCACTCAGCAGTGTGGAAGGGGATCATCTCTGTTGCGGTGCAGTGTTCTAGCTTGAAGGCGTTTTATCTGAATAATTTTCACTTGAAGGTTGGGGATGGGGTGAGGATTCGTTTTTGGACTGATATATGGTGCCATTCTGTGTGCTTAAAGGATGAATTCCCAACACTGTTTTTTTTAAGTGTTAAGGATTGTTGTTTGAGTGTTATGGTTGACAAGAAAATTACAGCAGGTGGCTGGGCCCTGGTCTTTAGAAGGGAACTATATGATTGGGAGAAGCTGGAGCTGGACAGATTAGTTACTATGCTCCTGGCAGCCCCAGTGCTGTGTCCCGAGTGCCCTGATCAGCATGTCTGGGCAGCCTCTTCTTCTGGGAGTCTGATGTCAGTAGATCTGTATAAGTTTGTTGTGGCCACTGCTGGAGTCTCTCTGAGCATAACTAGGCTGATATGGCTCAAGTATATCCCTCCTAAGGTACAGGCCTTTGGTTGGTTTGCATGGAAAAAGAGATTGAAGACCAAGGAGTTCTTACTGAAGCTGGGTGTGATTAACCAAGGTGAATCTACAACTTGTGTATTCTGTGGTAGTGAGGGCGAATCAGTGAATCATGTACTACTTTGGTGTCCCTTTGTGTGGAAGATATGGGCTGAAATGCTAAATTGGTGGGATGTTCAAGCTGTTATTCCAGGCTCTGTGGAGAGCCTCCTCCTGTGGTGGGCTGGAGGGAAGTGGAGAAAGATAGAAAAGAAGATTTGGAGAGCAATACCATTGGCGGTGATGTGGTCAATCTGGAAGTGCAGGAAGGAGTGTCTGTTTCGGGCAACCATCCCAAATCTGGAGGACACCTGTGATCTAATAAAGCACAGGATTGCTTTTTGGGTAAAACCACATCTTGCAGATTTACATTATTCAGTGCATGATTTTGTTTTCAATTTGAGGCAGGTTAGAAAGTGTGTGGGGGGTCCAAGGTGATTACTGAATTCTATTTGGGTTGCTTGAGTGCTTGGGCGCATTCCTGTTGGTGCTGGGTCTGCTCTGGCCTGCTGGTCTGGGGAGCTCTGCAGATCTGTTTGCTGCTGCATGGAGGACGTGTCCTGGCTGAATTCTATTCTATGGTCTGCAGCAGTAGTGCCTCAATGCAACAGTCCAGCCTTATTCCTGGTCAGTCTTGGGGTCTGCACTGTGCTCAGTCTTGGGGTCTACACTGCCTAGTGCGTGGTTGCTGTTCTGTATGCTGCTCAGCTCTGCTTTGCTGGTTTTGCCCGTGATTAGGCTCTATCTGGTGTTTTGGAAATGCCCCTCGCTTGCTTGATGCACTAGTGCTTCATGGTTTTGTTCAGTATAGTGCCGGGTTAGCTTGTTGTGTGCAATGCCTTGTAGTGCCCTGTTTCTGCTGCTGTTTTGCCCCTAGCCTTGTTATTTTTCTTTCTCTATCTTGTTGGTCTCTCACCAACTGGAGGTTTGAGCTTCTTTTAGCTCTTAGCTCCTCTTTATTGATGTTTCTTATTTTATAATAAAAAATCTACACTAAACCATATCATTCTACACAAATTCTATATAAATTTTTTATTTATATAGTATCACTCTTCCAGAAAACTGTCATAAGTATTCTGTAAAAGCACTACATTTATTCTAAATGGGGCCATTCTTCAACTAGATTAATGTAATGATGTCACATTTCATTCTATACTTTTTATTTATTTGTTTATATTTTTTAGATATGTAGCATTTGTAATTTCTCATTATGTATTTTAGTGGATGTGCAATGACTCTGAGCTTGTGGTTTCAGAAATTGTCGTCTTCCAATAGTGCACTCGGATGAATACAATGGTGTTACACTACATTCTTGGCACTGTTTTTTTAAATCTAACTGGTGCATACTTAATGTGTTTGTAATTTAAATAAGTAAAATATGTAATGTGTGTGTAATTTAAATAAAAAAAAATATTTATCATATATATTGTGTTTGATTCAAGTGGTAAGAGTTTTCTTTATTATGCTGTTTGTCTATAGTTTGAGTCTCATACCTATTATTTATGTAATGATTTTTATTTTTTTTTTAATGACAAAATGGACACTTTTTTTTTATCCGCAAAAGAAACTTTATTGATGAGAAACATACAAAGTATGGAAATACATCAATGAAGGGAAAGGGAGAGCAAAAATCAACCAAAACGGATGCTAGCACAAACCTTGGCCGTTGGTGATGAACCAACAAAAGAAAACCACAAAAAAGAGACCAAGGCCAAGAAAAGAAAAGGGCTAAAGCAGCAACTACTGAGAACTTCAAGCAGCTGAAACTCTCTGCTGCCAAAACCAGAGCCAAAGGAGACATCAAACATGCAACCTGATTTGGTGGAGGTTGGACACGAGATCATGAACAGAATAGTCAACCTTCAAGAACCATTTGACCCACAAAGCAATATGCACTTTCACCCTCTCACATAATACTTCAAAATCTGGAACAGCCCCCTTGAACAAACACTTATTTCTCAATTTCCAGACAGACCAAAGCACAGCTGAAGGGACTACCTGCCACATGCTGAAGACCCAGGACTTCAATTTACCACCAGACCACCACAATAGCAAACCCTCAATAAAGCTAGGTATAACCCAGGACTGATCCCACCAGTTGACCATGTGTGACCAGCACTACCAAACCAAAGTGCAAAACAAAAGCACATGCTCCAGAGACTCCACCTCAGTGTGGCAGAAAACACACTGAATATCTGCATTGACAGCTAAAACCTCAATCCTATGAAAGAAGGAAGAGGTCTTGACTCTATCTCTCCAAGCTAGCCAACAAAAGAACTGTACTTTTGGGGGAGCCAAACCAACCCACACCCCAACAAGAACCTTCAAACCAGGCCATTTCGTTGTAGTCCACCACCTCCAAACAGAGGATACAGAGAACTGCCATGAATTGGATGCAAGCCAAGAGCAAGAATCTTCAAGATCCAACCTAATTGCAGGGGATGACCCCAGTAACCCAGACAGCCTCTGCAATTCCTCTTCCTCCCAAGCCAAGAGATTTCTTCTGAATTGGAGCTACCACACCCCTAGACTGCTCTTCTTGGCACTAATTTTCTGTAAGGACTCATCTTTCTCAGTGGACAAACTATACAATCTGGGGAAATTCTCCTTCAAACCTCTATTAGTGAGCCAAGCATCATACCAGAATTGTGTCCTCCTCCCATTACCCACTGATATCTTGAAATGGCCACCATAGAACTCACCCAAAGGCTGGTTGACTGAAGTGAGCTGCACAATTTCCTTCCATACTGAGGACACCCATCTGAGATATTCAAAGATGGCATCCAACCCTATCAATTCTACCATATCTTGAGCATACCACAGATTTCGACAGGGCTTTATCATCAGAATCATATCTCCACCACCACTTTAACAACATGCAATCATTCACCTCACCTAAATCTTTCACTCCCAAACCTCCTTGATTCTTACTTTGGGTAACCTTCCCCCAATGGACCAGGTGCACTTTCTTCTTAATTTCAGATCCACCCCACAGGAAAGAGGATTGGAGTTTAACTAAAGCTTTAACAACTCCCTTGGGCATTCTAAAGATTGAAAGAAAATAGGTTGGTAGATTAGAGAGGACAGATGTAATCAAGGTC